TATTCTATTCCGCTTTCATTTTTACCAACATAGAAATAAATAGTTGATTTCTCTATGTTTGCCATGATATCAAGATGTAAGTGTAAATATTGGACATCCTTCCAAGAACAAGATGTGGGGGCAGGCGTCAGTGCGTAAATCTCCGCCAGGTTGGCACACTGCTTTTTCGTTGCTACTGCGCAGGCCGAAGAGGATTCACAAATCTCTGTGGAGGGATGCAGATGACGTGCGAGAAGTGGAACTGTCGGCCATGATTGGAGTGATGGCAATGGCGAAAGGAAGAGACGTGGGGAGGAGGAGCGGCAGCTTTTATCCAAAAGGTAGGGCCTAAGGCCACGGGAACGCCGAGCACACCCGCGCACTTCTTCGTGAATCGCCCACCGCTTTTTGTGTGTCGAGACAAAGGAAAAACGAAAAGAAATACCAAAAAATCAAAAGAAAATATCAACAAAAAGAAAAATCAAAAGAAAAATTAAAAGAAAAATCAAGAGAAAAATCAAGAGAAAAATCAAAAGAAAAATCAAAAGAAAAATGAAAAGAAAAATCAAAAGAAAAATCAAAAGAAAACCAAAAGAAAAATCAAAAGAATTTCAAATCGACACGCGAGAAGCCTAGCAAAAAAAAAAAAAATTTAGCATGACAAGTTGCAATCTTCCAGACCCAGACATTTTTACATTTCATATGCGGCCTGCGCCCGGAACGGGCGAAGAACGTTTGTTGGCAGAAGAGCGCGGCGGTCTGCAGCGCTTGCGAGCTGGAGGAAAGGATGGACTTCAGCTACTCCTCGCAAGACGGAGCCGCGAGTGCTGAGGATGAGGAGTTGTTCGAGAAGTTGCAATATCAAATGCAAAAATGTCTGGGTCTGGAAGAGTGCATGTTTGTCATGCTTGTCTGGCATGACTCTTAAGTCTGTCATGCACGTTACCCAGGAGCTCCATTTTTCTGTGATGCAGAAACGCAGTTTGTCATGCAGAATAAGTAGGCAACACCTAGAAGCTCAGAAACTTGTCATGCTGAGCCAGCACTTGTGGCCTCATCATGAGACGCCACCCAGCATCACAAGTTTCCAGGCCCAGACATTTTTACATTTGATATGCAACCGGCGCTGGTAAACGCAAAATTGGAGGAAAACGCGGTGAGAAAAAGACAACAGTTTTTCGACCGTAGCAGCTTTAAACCACAGAATACTGATGTTTTGGGTAGCAGTACCGGTGGTAGCGCGTCGGGCGACACCGACAGTACTAACGCAACGGCAGAGAAGATTACTAACAGCTCAAAAACGTCGGTAGACAGCACATATTCTTCCGCCGTGTCACCGGTAGGGGAGTTTGTTTGCAACGAAATACCACCACAACCAACGGACGCTGCTGTGTCAGATCCGAAGGCAGGCGCAAAATTGGCTGCGAAGAGGACGAAAACCACGATACCAGCAAGTGCGGGCGTGGGGGATAAAGCTTCTGAAATTCATACTGCATCGATGAAAGGTGCATCAGATTCTACTGCTTCGCAGGTTGCATCAAGAGTACGACCATCGGTACCAAATATTAACCCGAATAAAGAACCGCAAGCGCTCCTTTCCTTCACCGAAGCACTGCGGAATCTGCGAGAGGAGACCACGAGGACGAAGATGTTGGGACGTGAAAAAGAGGATGCGGGAGGAAGTGACACCAGTGCACAAGGAGAAGAAAAGTCAACAACAGCGAAGGAGTATCCGGTGCAGCTCCCGTTAATGCCTGTGAACTCCGATCAGGTGACAGCGCAGGCACTGCTGTTGAATTTCACGACACCTGTATGGGATGGGAAAATTTGTTCAACAGGCGGGTTAGTACTAGTTGCACGTTTAATATTTCACCTGCATGTGTTGCAAAAATTTGCAGATTCAGTGCGGCGGAGAAGAGAAGTTGGGTTTCGCCTTTATCATGCTGAAGTACTTATTTCCTGAAGCGCGTTGACAAAGTCAGTGCAAGACTCACTAACACCACACGACACCCGGTCGTTGAAAATATTTTTCCCTCCACCACCTACCACAAGCACGAGCGCGACGCCGGCAGGGTCAGACCAGGACAATATCACCCCCACCAACTACCTGACCCCCGAGCAAGAACGACTGGAAAACCAACGCAAGGCCGCGATTGACCGAATCGCTATTACGCTGGAGAGGAAACTGAACCAATGCACAAAAAACGACGGGAAAAACCGGCTCACGGGGGCTTTATCCCTGAAAATCCAGAACCTCGCTGACGCACTATCCTGAGTAAAAACGTCCCCACCCCAGAG